GTTCTAACGACAGCCCAGATCAAGGCTACTCGTAACAAAATGTAACCGAGATGTTTGCCAGGTTCATTACTTACGCCGTCCGGAACCTATATGTCCGAATAAAACTTCTGCAGCATATAGCCCAAAACTCGTCCAGAAGCATCACCCCTATATCGTACAACAGAACCAATTCCGAAATTCTATCGTGCCCTGTATCCAGATGAGTAGCCAGAAAGATTCACACTCAAAAGTGGGGCCAGCTTGGTGTAGCTGCCGCCTAACTAAATTGAGGCCAGCCGCGCAGAGAAAGTGAGGGTCGGGCCGACCAAACGGCGAGTATTACATTACCTATGTCAGAAACTGGCGAAGCTGCAGTGGTCAGTCATGTGTCGTCTACCCATAACGAATTCTGAGCCATCCTAATCGGCCGGGGATCAGTTCCCGCTAGGCCAACTCATTATAGGCAGAAAAAGGGACCAAAATAGACCAAAATAGACCAAAATAGACCAAAAGCGACCATAATAGACAAAATCGACAAAAACGACCGAAATAGCACCGGGGCCCCCCCGAAAGTGTGGGGCCCCCAGATAACCGAGCGGAAAGCAAAGCAGAGCAAGCTTCGGATCACGCCCATCATCTGAATCTTCTGAATCCTGAACTGGCCGAGAGAGCTGCCAGCATCTTTGTAAGTGCAGCATTCTCAGCAGCCTTGGCCAAATCGGCCAGGGCACCGAGAGAGACCTCCGGGGGGTAACCCCGAGAGAGACTTCCGGGGGGTAACCCCGCAGGTGTGCTTCACAGATTGTAAAAGCAATCGCCCCCAGCACGAGCATGCCTCAAACTGTTCGAAAAAGCATTGCGGGTACCCTTCCTGGTGCACATCCGAAGGCAGGCCGGCTACCACAGAGATGCCATCCATAATCCTCCATCCTGCCATGAGTCTCCTATCTGCACCAAGTGCACGGAGAAAGCGTTCCTCGGCCATTGCGCATGTGATCGAGGCCAGCACCGGACTTGTCGTCTTTCCCATCGGAATGCCGAAGACTTGCTTCATCACCACTGGTCCGCACTTGATGGAGGAGTGCTGGAGGTCAAACTTCACGATCGTCAGGATTTCTTTCAGTTTAATACTGACATACCCGTCCTGTTTTCTGACTGTCTTACTCAGGATGCAGGACCGAGATTTGACTGAGACCTTCACCTGCTTCCAGTCGGCATCCTCAAAACGCCGCAGTAGCTGGTGGACTGACTGCAAGACTGCGTCATGGGGTATACGGGAAAACATCTCCTTGATGTCGTAGCACCTGCCAATGGCCTGCTCGCAGCCTGCAGTCCTCAACCTGTGTGTGGTAGCCTTCATCTTGTCCGCAAGATAAGAAACCGAGTTAAGGTAGAATGAGGCTTGAGCGGGAACTCTCAGCAGCAGGCAGTGCAGTGCTCTCGCCACCCTTCCTTGGGCCAGTCCCGCCGGGTCTGCCGGAGCGGGAGCGATCGGTCTCCATTTATTGAGATCCTTATGCTTGGGAATGACGTAGGCATTCCCCAGGCGTCCATCTCGCCTCCAAGCCCCCAACTTCTGCAGATCTGCCGCCAGAAAGTCGCCTTTGCATTTGGCCAGCGCCTCCGACTCCGTGACGCCTTTCCCTACTGACTCATAGTTAGTGTTCCACAGGAATATCTTACGGAAAGTGTGCCGGTACAGGACCGGACATATAACCGCAGTGTCACCCGGATTCCGGTCCATCGGGGCCAGGACAAAGCCCTTGAACCCCGTGCTCCATCTTCGTACCTTGGCATCTGTCCAAGCGGCCAGTTTGTGATCAGCAGTCCCGATGGTGCCTTCCGGTATACTCAAATCCACAGCTTGCGTTCCCAGATGTCTATTGGCCTTGGAGATCGCCAGTAGTACTCTACGGCCGTTCTGAGTGCCCACAGACCTGGTAATATTCTTCGAGTTGTGTACAAACCCTGGTATGCGTTCTGCGTCAAGATCTGCGAACCGCGTCAAAACGTGACCGTCTATCTTCGGTAACTTGGAACAAGCGCAAGGGCAGCGCTTCTCTTCATCAGTGGCAAAAAACTTCTGATTGTGCAGCAACTTGCTGACCGTCCTATTCTTCCTCCAAATTATGTGAATTCGGTTTTTCACAAAGCCCGCAAGGTGGTCATCGTCGATCTTCCGATCGATCATCTCCTCTGCCGCCCTGCAAACAAGTGTCTTCCTGATTCGAGGATTGAACGGTAGAATAACGTTCACCCTCTTTCTCACACTGATACCCGTCTTCTCGAGCAATGCCCCATCGATCTTCAGTCTTAAGGATAGTTTTGACTTCGCATCCGTCATTGTCCCTGCTGCCCTGTATAGCCCAACAAGTTTGTTCGACGACATCTTGAGGAGAAACGACTTCGGTCTGGGCCTCCGCAGCAGTCCTATCAGAATTCCCCTATTCACTTCTGTAGTAGTCTTAGTCCTAGTGATCTTCATCACAACCACCTGGGCACCTTCTTGTAGGAACCTCTTCGCGGCCCTGAGCTGCATGTCAGTCCCATTCACCCTGACTCTCGATTGGTCGTATAGTCTTTTCATCCGCCTCCAGCCATCCGCCCAGAAAGTTCCTTTAACCGTAGTCAGGTGTGTTGTCACCTTCCCTATCTTCCCACTACCTGCTCTGGTCTGTAAATGTTCGAGGAGTCCGCAAGATCGATGCCGCCGATCCTAAAAATGACCGGTCTGCAATCCGGAACACCTCGAGTACGGCCTTTCCTTTCTCTCCTACCTTTTCTATTCGAGTGCCTAACCCTCTTCTCCCGCCTTCCTAGGTCCCTCGAATTCAGACAAGGGCTGAGGTCGGCAATCAGAAACCTCTCATAGCTGTAGTCATCCTCCCTTGTCGCGTGCCTGATCGGTAGGACCAGATACTTGTCGGGGTCGAATGCCCGCATCCACCGGTACAGGTGTGGGGTCAGTCCAATCACGTCATTCCTTGCATTAGAGTAATGCTCTCTCCAGTGTTGCACCATCGGCCTGATGGTGCAGCCGATGTATAACTTCTTCGTCCATGGACTCACCACCTCGTAGACATCGGGAGATCTCAGATCAGTGAGAGTAGTCAGTCCCTCCGATCTCGCCACGATCCTCTCCAACCATGGTATCTATCCCCGTAGTGTTAGGATCACGGTCGAAGTCGTGATCAGACTCTCGACTTGCCTTGTGTGTTCTCCTCTGATCCTCTGCTCCCACAGTATGGACCTTAGACGTAGAGCGTCAGTGAGCGCGTCCCAGAGTTCCCTGGTAGTGGGGGCAATGCACCGTCAATCGGAGTCATCGTTCGGTTGCTCGCTTGCCGACTTCAGGGTAATCCGTACCCTGCGTCTGACCGGTGTCTCCAACTTCTGCTTCCCTTTCTCCTCAGCTCGTTTCTGGAAAGTTGTGGACTTCGTCATCTCCTTCTCTTCGTCCGGCTCAAAGCCTCCGAACCCATCATAGGCTAACTCAACCTGCTGCCTTGCTAAGAGTTCCACGACTTCAGGCTTCTTGGTGTACTTGATGCCCTTCTTGTCACAAATCTTCCTAAGGTCAGTAGCTTTCTTCGTCGAGAAGATCTTCTAGGCCGATATACAGTAGTCAATGATGTCGCGCTGCGAGCATTCAACAGAAACTCCCTTGTATCCCGCGGTCAGCGGTGTCTTGGGTTCAACCGCCTGCTCCGAGATTTCGGCCACGTCGGCGTTTCCGCGAGTGCTCAAACCCGCCCGCCTGGAGCATTCGTCTTCGCTTTCTGTGGCGTTTTCCCAATAGGTGAGAGTTTTTTCTTCTCCTCCCTTGTCTTATCGATCTTCGTCCTCGGTCGTACCTTCCTTCCACACTTCCTGTTCCGCCGGCTCACGGTGATCTCGGATTCTGTAGTTGAGCCCTGAGATTCGGACTGCTCGGATTCTTCGGAGGTTACTGACTCAGAAGATTCCGTGATGTACCGGCGGGTCACGCGTTTCCTGCGCCGACTCCTTCTCACCGCTTTCACCTTCCTTCCGGGTGAAGATGGTCGTTCCTTAGTTGATTCCCGTAGCACAACTTCGACCTCTGATTTCTTCTCCCGCTATTCTTCATGAAGCTCCGCCCTGATCTGCAGCTTAAACTCTTCCACTTTTCGAGCAAAGTCTCGATCCCTATGAGCTTCCTCCTCTTCCTTAGCCTTCCTTTCCTCCTCAATTCTCTTCTTTTCTTCTAACTCCTGTCTCTCTTTCCTTGCTAACCTGTGTTGTTCCTTGATTTCCTCTAGCTCTGGATCCGTATTGCCTGTCTGGCCGTACCGCCCACGAGTGGCCCAACATTCTCTGGCAATGTGGCCCGTTTTTCCACAGTTGTAGTAGACCATACTCCGGTTGCCAGAACCAAAGTTGGGGTTGCCAAAACCAGGTCCGCTAATCGGACGCCCCTTTATAGCCTGTCCACTGTTATTGGTCCCGTAACCCGTATTAGTAGTCGGGAGGGAAGGTCCGGGTAATCCATTAGTAACTTGTTGAGAGAGAGAGAGAGAGAGAGAGAGAGAGAGAGAGAGAGAGAGAGAGAGAGAGAGAGAGAGAGAGAGAGAGAGAGAGAGAGCACACACGCACACAGATCAATCGAGAGAGCGCGCGAGAGAGAGAGAGCGAGTAAGTCATCCGTCTCAATCCAGAAGACTCCAGCTACTGTCAAAGACCCGAGTGTGGAGAGCCCCTATAAGATCTACCGAGAAATTCCACGGACTCATGCCCTCCAGATACTGCTCACCTCCACACAGTTGATATGCCTCCTGGAACGCACTAACGCCAGGATCCTACGGATCTTGTCGAGCACTATGCAAATTTTCCCGTAGATCTCCGATCTAATCGTGGGGTCTGCTACGAATCGTGTAAGATGGAACATAGGCGTAATAGTCTGCCTGACGTACCTAGAAAGCAAAGTGATCAAACGTTTTCGCGAACTCGTGTGTCGTAGTAACTGTTGTCCCCCGCAGCACCTACACCTAGCCGGCATCTTGATGTCATATGAGTAATGAGCCGCAGATTACCAGCTCGATCCCGAGACAAATAAAGCCTTCCCCCAGAAGCATCGCGCCGATCACATCACGAACCCGCCTCATCCCACGAAGGTTAGGCAGGAATCAGTGCGAAGCAGGAGGAAGACCTTATGGCATGCCGGTCCTTCACACGCGAAGAGCGCCTTCGATCGAACGACCCTGCAATGCCGCTTCTCACCAAGTACGTAGGAGGAAAAATCCTCTGGACATGCCAAAAGGATAACGCTTGAGAGAAGTATTCTAACAAAACAGCCATTTCGTCAAAACGGACATATTATATTTTTTGAACGAAATCAAAACTGACTTTTTTTGCCAAAATCCGGTCGGAATTTTTTGCTCATGGGGGTCCGGCGTTCCCAAAACGCCGGACCCCCCTGGTTTATGGTTGAGACCAGATAAAAAAAAAAAAAAAAAAAAAAAAAAAAAAAATCTGGTCTCAACCATAGACCAGGGGGGTCCGGC